AAACCTCTTAAATGCACATTTGTGCTACTAGTACTAATGGAGGGCTAATGAATAAATTTTATTTTACTACCGTCGAGTCGAGTGGAGTGCAGTCAAAGTTAAATATATCGTTAAATTTGCATATAATGAATTACACTTTTTACTATTGTCAAGTATAATTGAATTTAATTAATTGAAATAAGTATGAGACGTTTCAAAATATAACACCGGACTCTAAGTAAAGACGGGACTCTTCTATAAACAAGTAGTGGCAATACCTGGAATTTAGCCCCCGTTTGGCTCTCATTACATTAAGTTTCATTACATTCTATTTTTCTCTCTCCTATTTTCAATCACACAATCTTTCATAAAATAATATTACATGTAAATCAAAAAAATTTCATTCTTTTTTCAACCACTCATTTTTTAAAAAAAACACTATTCCATCCATTTTTCTCTCTAGAAAATGGGGGCTAGTAACTATAAATCTAAGAGAGACCAATCAAACCATGCCAAGTCCATGCTCCAAAACCTAGTTTTTATAAAACCAAGACAAGAATATCACAACAAAATATCGTATTTCTGCTGCAAGTTGAATGGTTGGTAAATAGCACTTAAATGCAAAATTATCTAATATCTTATTTATTTATGACCGTATGGTCAGGATGGCCGAGTGGTCTAAGGCGCCAGACTCAAGTTCTGGTCCTCGTGAGAGGGCGTGGGTTCAAATCCCACTTCTGACAAAAAGATAATTCTTTCGCTTTTTTTACTCATATCTTTGGACTCGTAATGTGCTAACATTTTTCTTCTTCTTTTTCGTTTTTTTTTTTAAATTATTATTATTATTTTTATCATTTGACACATTTATCGAACAAAAGTAACATTACTGGTATAGGTCATGTCCACTGAAAAATTTCTAAACAACGTTTACATGATATATTTTCACATAACTAAATGGTACAAGACACCTTCTTGGTTAGCAATATTCAGTGCTAATCCAGTATAAGCAGTAAAGTAGACATTGGCAATGCCATCCCTCTATCCCAACAAAAAAGCCGAAGTATTATTTATAAGCTTCCATTGGTAGGCTTAAAATACAAAAATAAATTCATTAAAAATCTGAAAACATGTCTGAGTACAAATCATTAGAGACTTGAGCAATTTACAAACTAGTATCAGAATAAGATTAGTGTTTTTCTCATCATACAACATAAAAAATATCACAACTTTGGTGTGTGAAACTTCCCATCCAGCCACAATGCAGTCCATATAAAAATTTAGCGTTTATATCATCCCTTCGGCCGAACAAAGAAGTAACTGCTGAGGATTGCTTTATATTTTTATGGGGTCGAGTTACTTCCATTCGATCAAAATGATCAGATCAACTGACTTCACAACCATAGTCGAAGAACGACGTCTCTGAGGGTATGGTTGAATAACTAATCTGGATCAGGCTATTCAGAGATCAGGTTTTGTCGAAGGGGACCGAGTGCAGTCAAAGTTAAATATATCGTTAAATTTGCATATAATGAATTACACTTTTTACTATTGTCAAGTATAATTGAATTTATTTAATTGAAATAAGTATGAGACGTTTCAAAATATAACACCGGACTCTAAGTAAAGACGGGACTCTTCTGTAAACAAGTAGTGGCAATACCTGGAATTTAGCCCCCGTTTGGCTCTCATTACATTAAGTTTCATTATATTCTATTTTTCTCTCTCCTATTTTCAATCACACAATCTTTCATAAAATAATATTACATGTAAATAAAAAAAAATTTCATTCTTTTTTCAACCACTCATTTTTAAAAAAAAACACTATTCCATCCATTTTTCTCTCTAAAAAATGGGGGCCAAACGGGGGCTAGTAACTATAAATCTAAGAGAGACCAATCAAACCATGCCAAGTCCATGCTCCAAAACCTAGTTTTTATAAAACCAAGACAAGAATATCACAACAAAATATCGTATTTCTGCTGCAAGTTGAATGGTAGGTAAATAGCACTTAAATGCAAAATTATCTAATATCTTATTTATTTATGACCGTATGGTCAGGATGGCCGAGTGGTCTAAGGCGCCAGACTCAAGTTCTGGTCCTCGTGAGAGGGCGTGGGTTCAAATCCCACTTCTGACAAAAAGATAATTCTTTCGCTTTTTTTACTCATATCTTTGGACTCGTAATGTGCTAACATTTTTCTTCTTCTTTTTCGTTTTTTTTTTTAAATTATTATTATTATTTTTATCATTTGACACATTTATCGAACAAAAGTAACATTAATGGTATAGGTCATGTCCACTGAAAAATTTCTAAACAACGTTTACATGATATATTTTCACATAACTAAATGGTACAAGACACCTTCTTGGTTAGCAATATTCAGTGCTAATCCAGTATAAGCAGTAAAGTAGACATTGGCAATGCCATCCCTCTATCCCAACAAAAAAGCCGAAGTATTATTTATAAGCTTCCATTGGTAGGCTTAAAATACAAAAATAAATTCATTAAAAATCTGAAAACACGTCTGAGTGCAAATCATTAGAGACTTGAGCAATTTACAAACTAGTATCAGAATAAGATTAGTGTTTTTCTCATCATACAACATAAAAAATATCACAACTTTGGTGTGTGAAACTTCCCATCCAGCCACAATGCAGTCCATATAAAAATTTAGCGTTTATATCATCCCTTCGGCCGAACAAAGAAGTAACTGTTGAGGATTGCTTTATATTTTTATGGGGTCGAGTTACTTCCATTCGATCAAAATGATCAGATCAACTGACTTCACAACCATAGTCGAAGAACGACGTCTCTGAGGGTATGGTTGAATAACTAATCTGGATCAGGCTATTCAGAGATCAGGTTTTGTCGAAGGGGACAACTCAGTTTGGATTCGAATGAGAAATGAGAAATAAGATTTTATTTCATCAAATCTAAGAATACAAAGCCATTCCACAGGCTATGCAAGAGAATGGATGGTAATAGATTCCTTGATCTTGCATAAGTTACACCCATCACAACACCTAGAAAAATAAGTGGTAACATCCTCTGTACATTAAAGTGTGCCAAAGAAAAGCCTATTGAACTTACCAATATTGAGCACCACACAGGCATGTATTTAGTCAAAGAAGGAAGAAGGAAACCTCGGAAGACGATTTCCTCCCACAAAGGAGCACAAACAACAAGTACCAGTGCATAAAGTGCCATTGCAACAGGATCTCGAGCCACTATTGACTGCTCTACACTTGAGAGTGTGACAGGAGTCAAAGGCAAAACTGGAAGAAGATCTAGGTTCAATTGTGAGAGACGATTGACTAATGGAAACATCAAGCATCCGAGAAAAACGTCGAAAAGCCAGTTCCCTCTAAGGCTAAATCTGAACCAATCAGATGGAAGGGGACGGAACCGAGACAAACACCGATGAAGAATTAAAATTCCAGCAAGGCCTTCAGTTACATCTGTCAAAAGGCTGAACAATGCCTGTCCTCTGTAAGTTAGTGATTCCTTGCTGAAGCCAATGATGTGAGCTCCAAGTGGGATCATCCAAGAACCCACAAACCAGAATGATATGATCCAAAGAAGTGTAACCTGCATCACCACAATATTTCAAAACGTGAGAGGGGGGAAAAAAAATATTATTGTCATTATTTTTATTATCTTATTTACTTAGGAAAAAGGGTAAAAAAATAATAAAGAAGCAAATTAGACTAAGATAAGGGTTTCTCTATTGCACCAAAATACTATAGAAATTTAAAAAATACACACACACACACACACACACACACATATGAAAAACTCCAAAAAAGTTACAATATCTACGTGTCTATTGGTCAGCAGACTTCAAGGGCTTCAAAACTTGACATATATAGATGTACAAGAGCCAAAATAAAATATTATTCCCTCAACTTCAAAATGTTTCTCCTCCTTCAGATTTTCTAGATAATATATATCTCTGAAAATGGAAAATCTCCACCTTATACCATGACAGTATAACACTTCATTTAATCTCTTTTACCAACGCAATTACTTATTTTAACATATAACAATAACGTTATTTTTTACCCTAATTTTGTTGACACTTCAGTTCACGTCATCGTAAGAGGGAGGAGTACCCTTACCTGTAGGATGGTCTCTGCAGTCCATGGCACTGTCCAAGGTTTCCCAATCACTCTAAACATTTCACCTACAATCTGACAAAAATGTAATATGGATCCCATCAGTTACAAAATGTTCTAACAATTCTACGATACATCATAACATAGTGAGCAACAATTGAACATTCCATCCATATCATTGGAATCCCTCCCTCCCTCGCTCCCCCATTTCCTTTTCACTTTCACATTCTAATATGAAAACAAAGAGAACGAAAATATTGGTTAAAACCAGTAAGTAATAAATGTGGCAAATTATTAAGATCATCTCATCTCTCGTAATCTACTCAGTGACTTGGAAACGGAGCATTTGCAATGATATACAATGTACATTGCAACACAAACTCAAAATTGGCTTGGGTATCGTTTTGGTAGACTGTAAAGAGCTCAATAAGTGCTCTAAAGTTAAATAACTGCTAGAAAGTCTTGTGTGTTTGCTCATGTTTTCCAGGATCTCCACAAAGCTGAGGAGTGAGGCCCCAAGAAGGACCTTTAAACGAATAAGTACCACTGTACCAGAGCTTCTCAGAAAAGGAGCTGATAAAGTCACTTCAAATATGAGAAGTTACTTAAATTTACATAATTCCTCAGTAAAGAATCACTTTATTCTATTATTTAAAAAAAACGTTAAATAGAGAGAGTTGCTCACTAAGAAGCCAAACTTTTCTCAAAGAAAGAGGCCAAAGAATCATATAAAAAATTGACAAGTCCATTTTGAAATATCAAATTCTAAAATATATTCTTTTAGGAATTAGCCTATTAGGACTATTTAGCAACTGAAACCTACACCAAACAAACCCTTAGGGATCCAGCATCAGTGCATCATATATAAAATCTATGCTTACAACTACAAGAACTGAATTTGACTACAGAAAATTTCCTTAACCAAATCCCATTAGTAAAGAAAAATATTAAGATTGTCTAATTTATAGTATATCAACTAATGTTTTACCATTATACTTGAAATAAGAAAGGGCTATCAGAGTTTTCCAGGTTATCAGCCCGAGGTACAACCAGCCCACTATTTACATGAGAAGTTCATGCTGTCTACTGTCTATCAATCAGCAATGAAAACCAAAGAACAAAAATCAAAAACACCAAATAAAAGAAATGGCATTATTACCTCACCAAGAGTTGAAACCCAATTTCTTTTGTCAACATTTGGTTTATCAACATCCACCTTCTCCAACTCCTCATGAAGAACCTCCCCAATAGACTCGGGATTTGGGGTGCCTGATGAAAATTCTTCATGCCTAAAGCACAAGATTTTCCTCTTCTACAATATGAAAGAAATGAAACTATATTCGGTTACAGCATACAAAATGACACACATCCAAATATATAAATACTTTCCTACAAGTACAAACATAATATAACAAGCATAAAGAAAGTATCATCACTCTATGATTACAAAGCAGACACTGGTATATAGAATAGAACCTAATTCAAGACAATATTTACATCAATAAAGATTAGGAGAAAAACATTGGATCTTCATGGATGATGGTTTGGAAAAAAGAAGCAAATTCAACCCAAATTTTTTGTCGCTGTAACAACAAAAAACAAACAGATAAATGTAACCACTTAATGCCTAAACTACCTGAATAATTTAATAAACAAATGTCAAAAAAAAAAAAAAAAAAAAAAAAAAAAAGAGACATCCATATTCACAGACATTAAGATATGAATAACTGGGATTTCTGTGGCTAATATCTAGGTAGAACACAAAGAAAATAGCAAACCTGACGAGACATCCTTTAAAAGTAGAACATAGATTCCTGAAGAGACACCTTGAAAAATATATTTTTATATTTATAATAACGTAAATATCTAAATTTCATTGTTGAAGAAAATATGATAAAATTAAATTCCTAAGGCACTTTGTATTCTACTCATAGTAAACAAAGTAATATTTAGCAACCATAGAAAGGATATGAAGCAACATGGAAACAACTACAAGTCTACTCAAGGCTAAAGACTCGAAGATAGAGCTTGAGTTAATGTAGATTTTGGTAGTTTTATGTGTTACGAGTTTTGCTTATTAATGAGGAGCTTGTTATTTATCTTTAACAAGTTCTCCTAGATTGAAAGATCCCTTTTTTCTATATAAAGGGACTTAGGTTTTCATTTACTAATAACTTTTTATAATTGAATACAATTACATTATTTCCCTTGCCAGTAAGTTCTAAATCAGAATATATTCAATGTTCTTAAATTATTGTATCAACATCAAATATTTCACATCATTGTCACTATTAACAAGATAGCCGCAACTCTAGTTCATTGAGCGAAAATTGAACATTTTGAAGCATCTATATATCCTTAAAAAAGCCAAATTTATTTTATTCTATATCTCCATTCATTAATAAAGGCAGGTGCATGTAAATATAAGTTTGATTATGCGTTAGTATGACTGCCTAATGAGCGAAAAAACTCATTCCATCTTAACTATTTCTTTCGACGTGTAAATATATTCATTTTAATATCAAAAAGCCCCCAATTCCTCCAAAAGAAGTAGTCATTCACAAAGATATTTGCCGTGAAAGATATTTGCCGTGAAGAAGAATAATATGAGAACTTTCTTCATCAGTTAATAAATTCGCATCAAATAATACAAAATAAATCAATGAATGAAGAAATATATATTTACTGGAGTTTCATGGCTAATAATATCAATACGCCAACATAAACATAACCCAGCACACATCTAAACGGCTTTCATAATTCACTCCCTATAATACACCCAAAAAAAAAAAAATGTTATTTTGATACATGAAAAGGTAAAAGTTGGATTTTTTTTTTTTTTTTATAAATTTTTACCTTCGTAGTTGAGAAACTGCGATGAGTTTCCGGGACCCGAATGCTGCGAGTGAGAGGGAAAACTGACACGGGGGTGAATTTCGAAGCCCTAAATCTAGGGCTTGAAGTTGAAAGAGGAAGAGACGGAATGCAATTTGAGCTTAGCAACATCTTCATCTTAAGCTGGTAATAAAAAATCCCTAAATTTAAGAGATAAGGGAGTATTCGAATACATGAATTTTACGCATTTTTCACCTTCTCCCTCCCAGTACTACAATACACATGCACAAAACCCTAATCTGTTTCCTTCTTTTTTTCCTGCAAAAATGATTTCTTCCCCTCCTCTATCCATATATTCTGACGTTTTTTAACTAATGAGAGAGACCGCAGATTTTTAGATCAATATTTTTTTATGTCGAGTTTTCAAAACGAAAATGCTTTAAATTTAATCAGAAAAAACTCATAACAAATGCGTTTGCCGGGAGTCGAACCCGGGTCTATTGCTTGGAAGGCAATTATCCTAACCGTTGGACTACAAACGCTGTTTGCTTATTGTGGCATAATATTTATAATAATAAATACTCTTGACGACCAATCTTTTTGAACGAAAATAACAAAACCAGCAAATATATATATATATATTCCATCTTAAATCGTTAGAATAATGATATTTAGTCACTAATCTAATTCGCAATATATGAATCAATAAATTATATATTCATTTAAATATAAAGATACACGAGTCATTTAGTTAGGATAGATATCATTACTCGAATGATTAACCTTTTAGGTTTGAATCTCGAATCCCTACATGTACTATTAGAACCTTGCATTAGATTTTGCCACGTATATGACAAAATATATTTCCAAATGTGTGCAGAAGAGTCGAATTCCGTGATGGTGAACTCTTGATTTGGTGCAACTTCCACTTTAACCCAAGCCTTACACAATGGAGATAATGTAGAATTCAATGGCGTGTCATCTTCCCAATTGCAACAAGTTAGACCGAAGAGGTCATCATTTGAAGAAGTCGTAATGCTTATGTAGGACTAGTTGAAGAAGCACGAACCAAAGTTCCACGTGGACTAGCAATATAGAAAATTCAGGAAAAAAATTCCTGGTTGAAGTTGAAGGAACCTGCAGGTAAAGAAGAGTTGTCCACATGCATCTTAATTGGACTGAGAACATTATACAGAATTTCAATGAATTTGAAACATCAGCACTGAGGCATCTTATTCTATTAGATGGATTAGTGGGCATAATTTTGTTGTAAAGTTATGGTTAAAACATTTCTTGGACGAGTTAAAAACGTGTATTCTAAAAGGATACATGGACACTGGTTTTACAAGAATCATGCTAGCTAGCAATATATATTTGGAAAAAAGTTAAATCTTCTCTTTGTTCATTCACTGGTCAATATCAAATTCGAAAAATCCAGATCACTTTTGCATATTCTCTCTCACTCGAGCAAAAACAATAATATCAGACTTCTTATTTCTGATAAATTTGTATACGTTGAATGAATTATTTTTCGTCAGTTCATTTGCATCATCATCTACTTGAAGATCTAATGGATACCAATAAATATAACAACGAAGATAATAAAAACAGCAAATTTAAAAGCAAGAAGAATCCCTTCAACATAGTTCGAACACAAAAATAAAAGGACAGGATAATACATAATCCTATCTACTATAGTTAATGTCGTAATTCGTTGTGTGAAGATCGCGAATTTCTTGGAGTGAACCTAAATTACAGATCACTTTATGAGAAAATATGTTTGACGTCTTATCGTCAATCAATTTTCACAATATAGTCGCACTAGAAAAAAGCATTTTTACTTGTTTTTTACGAGCATGACAGAAGAAGAATAGACGCTTAAATGCGAAAAACTAATGTAATTTAGACATTAGTAAATTAAATACCTTTAACATTTTATGTTGGAAGGATGGAAGAGGTAAGTAGAGAATGTTGAAAGAATAAGACATATTCCTTGATGCATACATTACAAACTAAACAATAAGGTTTTGGAGCATTATGCTACATAACACGAAGAATCCTCTTCGAAGACCTCCAATAATTAGTTCTGTCCATATTTTGTTCGTTTTTTCTTCTTCATTAGCTAGTCGATCTTCTATTACAAGTGACAGATATTTTGAAGAGAAATGTGGAGATTGATTACTGCATTTTTAGATTCTAATTCTCTATCCATGCAACATTATTGAGGTTAAGCATCTTTTATCCTAGATATTAGCTCTATCTTTCCTTCTATTATTGCTGAATTATTCTTTTATACAATATATCATATCTTGACTATACATACTTTATTTTCCTAGTTGCATCAACCACTTAGCCTAATTCCCTTCTTTAAATCATAGTAGCCTTCTTCAGAATGCTCCATCTCAATACTTGATTACTCTTCGTTACCATAAACTAGCTCATTTTCCTTCAAAAAGGCTTCCGTGCGCTGTATCTTAAAAGGGTTTTCTAGTTTTTGATCAAAAATTAATATTACTTCCTCGAAAACTAGGGAACTACAAGGATCAAAGCAAAATTTTCGACTAGAGTTGAATTCGTATCACTTCAGTGGAGAATGAATGGGAAAAAGGGTAGTATTGAGATCAATATCCCTTCCATTACCAATACTAAACTCCCGGAAAACAAGAAATGTGGAGAAGTTAGCGCCTTGGGCAAAGGCTGGATTTTGAGTATTTGGGAAGTTTGCAAAGAAGATAGCAATAGAGTAATATTCTCCCTAAAAGTTGGCCTCGCTGTTCTTCTCGTATCACTACTGATACTATTCCGAGTACCTTATCAAGTTTTCGGCTCTAGCATTATCTGGTCCATCCTCACTGTTGCCATCATGTTTGAATATACTGTTGGTATGTCTATGCGCAAATCATTAAGCGCAACGAAATATTACTGTTAAAATATATGTCTAAATGTCAAAATATATAAAACGAAACTCGAAGAACATCATCGTTCATAAGGATATAATAAGTTCATGGACTTTACTCAATGATGCACATATTCTTGCATAATCATAATTGAATAATTACCTTGACGTGTTTTCTCTGGCGTTATGTCTCTTAAGGTGCGACATTTAATCGAGGGTTCAATCGAGCACTTGGGAGCCTGCTCGCTGGAATCTTAGCCATTGCCATTGCAGAGTTAGCCTTGAGTTCAGGACGAATTGCTGAGCCTGTTATAATTGGTCTGAGCATCTTCATTGTTGGTATGTCACCTGACTATTGTAAACAAGAAATGAACTTCACTTTCTTCCCCTTACAAACAACACGTGTCGTTTAAATTTTGCAGGGACTGTTACGTCATTCATGAAGCTCTGGCCATCTCTTGTGCCCTACGAGTATGGATTCCGAGTTATACTTTTCACCTATTGTTTGATCATTGTTTCTGGCTATCGAATGGGGAATCCGATTAGAACAGCCATGGATCGGCTTTACTCCATCGCCATTGGAGCCATTGTAGCAGTGCTAGTGAATGTACTCGTTTTTCCTATCTGGGCTGGGGAACAGTTGCACAAAGAACTTGTCAGCAATTTTAATTCAGTGGCTGATGCACTTGAAGGTATACTAATCTAAGAAAAATAGTACAAAAACCAAACGATGTGAGACAATAGTTACAAAGAAAAATAAGTGAAACAAACATAATCTGTCAGCCCTTTAAATCGCAGACACTTCTATTCTTAATTTTACGACATTAAATTCATCTGGTTGCAGAATGTGTTGGAAAATACTTAGATGATGACGGATCCGAACATCCAGAGTTCACAAAAACTGTCACGGACGAGTTTCCAGATGAACCTGCATACAGGAAATGTCGATCCATGTTGAACTCCTCTGCCAAACTTGAATCATTGGTACTAATCATCTCCATGCAGATTCTATCTCAGTTCAAATGTATTCAATCCTGCAAGCACTTAACTGGGATTTCTACTAATGCTTCTGGTTCTGTTTATTAGGCCAATTCAGCTAAGTGGGAACCTCCCCATGGCAGGTTTCGACATTTCTTTTATCCATGGTCGGAGTATGTCAAAGTTGGTGCAGTTCTAAGATATTGTGCATACGAGGTCATGGCGCTCCATGGTGTACTTCACTCAGAAATTCAGGTCTGTGCCATCTCTCCTATCAAGAATCTTAGTAGAAACCCCATACAGAAACATTTTTGCGCATTAGGATTCATATCATAAGATTTAACAAAGTTATATGCTAAATGTCGGCCTGTCGCAGCCCACAAGTAGTTAAAACTTGAACAAGGCAAAGAACTGAGGAATATGCTGAAAGTTGTTCCATCTTCCATGTCAGTTCTCATTGCCTAGAAAAGGCATATCGAATCAAAGTTCTATGATTTGAATGATAAAGATGAGAATTATACTATGCGTTTGTTCTCCCATATAGTGGTCTACCTTGGGAGGTCTACCTTGGGGAAAACATTACTAATACCTTTCTGATTATTCTGTCAACAAAAGCATCAGATCAATTCATAATGCCTCGCTTTCAGTTTCAGATAAAAATGTAATTAAAGATTCCTATGATCTGGGTTCTGAAGAATATATTCTTCAAGCAGAGAATGTCTTTACTTAATTAACAAAGCCTATTAATACTATTATACTGTGGGGCCTTTTATCACAAGTTATCACAAGAAGCTACGTATCCATGTGTCACTTGAATCTGTAAAAAACTCTTTAGCAGTAACTGACATATTGAATCTGTAAAAAACTCTTTAGCAGTAACTGACATATATGCAATTTCTTGTATTGTTTCTATTAGGCTCCGTGTAATCTTAGAATCACATTCCAGAAAGAGATCCAAGATGCAACAAATGATGCTGCAGAGTTAGTTCGATGTCTAGGCAAAGACATAAGTGAAATGCAGCGAAGTCTCAAAGTGACTCTCCTAAAACGGGTTCATGGCTCGACTGAGCGCCTCCAACGCGCAATAGACATGCACTCGTACCTCCTAACATCTACTTATGAACCACCTGATAATAATACATCTAAGCCACAGCCAAAGCTCTCTCTCACCTTATCGACCACTCCTTCTAACCTCTCGAACCAACTGGTGGAGCTTCCGGAACTGAACTCCAACCCACCATCCCCACCTCCAGGGACAATCCCACCATTACAGACAGAATCTTACCACGAGATGATGAGGAAGCAATCAAGAAGGCTCTACTCTTGGCCATCTCGGGAAGTTGATGCGGTCGAAGAAGAGGGAGGTTTTAGCGCAGACTTCATTCCTAAAATGCGTGCGCTAGAGAGTACTGCCACACTGTCTCTTGCAACTTTTACCTCATTGCTTATTGAGTTTGTGGCTAGGATTGATCACTTGGTTGAAGCAGTTGATGAACTGTCAAAGTTGTCCCAATTCAAACAGGAGGCTCTATAATATGCACAGAGTGTATTATTGAGGAGACAAGAGACACTTAAAAAGATGAAACTATGAGAGTAGTTCTGAAATATTTTTTGTTACAATTGCAGAATAAACAGCATTATCCCTGGAGATATACATTTTCCCATTTTCTTTCTTTTTGTTTGTTATGTATAATCCATCGTGGAGTATTGGCAGATATTTCAAATCTCTACTACTTTTAGCTTCTTTTCTTCTAATTAATTATTTTCCAATAATAACATCATTTTGAGGATATAAATTAAAATAGACACCGAACTTGGGAACAACTTTAGCCTCAGGAATAAGAGAGCATTTATTGCGGTGACTAGCAACATGTTTGGCCAAGATAAAAAAAATTAACTATTAAAAAATTCAAACAAGTTTAGCAAAAATAAATAACTTTTAAGTTAGTTAAACCTGCTCTAAATGAATTGTGCATCGAGAACAACCACCTTCCAGCACAATCATTGGCAAACCTTCACTAATACTACAGAGGTCAATTTGGATAGAAGGATTTCAACCTGGGAATTGCATTTTATAATAACACTAGTAGTTGTCACGTGCGTTGCACGAACTTTATATTTATGTAAAAATTGTAGATTTTCCAAAACTTGTTGAAGATCCGAAACCAGATGTGCTTCATGTCATCAATTCGATTACTGATCACAATCTGTAGAAATATGGAAGTTCTAATAAACCATTTGCCATAAATGGGCTATTAAAAAACAAGCTTCTCAATGTATGAAAATTTCCACAATGTCATGCTCAAGTCTGTGGATTTCTTGAATATTACATGGTTCCCATTGAAAATTTTGAAGATGAAAGAAACAAGGTAAGAGGCAAAGAAAGATATCCCACTCAACGATTTCCAAATTATTTCCAGCCAACCCTTCATTATTTCTTTCATCTGACTTCAAAAATTTGTTTACAGGAAGATACAAAGACTACAGCTCGTGTATATTAATTATTTTAGTCTGGAATAGTGCAAAAAACTTCAAATGTTCTTGCAATAACAGAAGATCCACTACTCGTTTAGATCCAAGAAATGTATTTCTTTGCTCGTACCTACGACAGAGCGCACACTGTGATTGAGAGAGAACCAACAATGCTATGACACTGAGCGTTGATCCTGGCAATAAAAATAGACTACATCACTTGAGATTTTGAGCTGGTTAAGCTCTGTTCCTATACTTCACAAATTACAATCGCAAGAAGTGAATTAAAAGAACAGTGTGCTCGAGCCTCTAACATACACGTGCACTACCGGGACATACTTGGTACACATAATTAGACGGGACTCGACACTTGAATAAATAAGATTTTGACTTCTTTTTCTTCTTTAATAATGTTTTGCCAAACAAAGTTAATGTTAATGCTACTACTGATTATATCCATATCTCCATTGGAGGAACCAAAAATGTCAGCATCCAATCAATTTTGAGTGAATCTTGACAAAAAAGAAACAATTAAAAAATACAGAATCGTCAAAAGGAGGATATGCACAAAACTAGAAACATTGTTTTACAACATGACTCCACAAGACCCATAAAATGACAGACCAAAGAAACTAGGATGGAATAATTAAAATATTTACATGAATAAACACCAATGACCCACAGACAAAGGGTTACTAGACCATAGTTTATTTCCCTTTATTGCCACACATGCAACAAAGTTCAAGAAATATCAGAGAAATAAGACAGGAGTTTCTCATTTTCCAACCACTAAACAAACATAAATGTAACAGACACAATACAGGCCAAGTACTAAGCTAGTAAGAACAATGGAAAACCAGGTAACATATCTTATATCCAGGTCTGATGAGTCATGAAAGATTTCTCCGACTCGGATGAACCAACAATGTCTCTGCTGCTGGTGAAACTGTGATGAGAACTCCCCGCAAACCGTGCCACAAGGTTTCCTCCATGCACCCTTCCTTCAGGGACTGTACTGGGTGATGAGTTGCCTCCTACTGGCATACGAGCATGATGGGGGCCTAAATAATTCCAACTCCTGTGGGAAGCCGCAACACTGTTCTCTATAATGTCAACACTCATGTCATCGGCAGTGAAAATCTGTTTCATCTTAGAAGGTTGGCTGGTTTTTGAATCCTGAATGACAGCTCCTATAGTTTCACCACCATGAACCCGATTGTCCTGAACCAAGGAACCATGCGATGCGCAGAGCCCACTCCTACCCCGAGCAAACGAGTTGCAAGGTCCATCGCCCTTGCCAAATTCAGAATCAGGCTGACCCCAGTAGCATCTCTTCCCTCCTCCATGAGCCTTGCAGAAATCAGTGCAGCCCTGAGCACTTTTTCCACACCCTTCATATTTGCATCTCTTTCCCCCACCATGACGGACACAAAAGGCTGTACGTCCCCTTGCACTCTTCGTGCACTCTGGCACAGCACACCTCTTGCCACCTCCGTGTGCTACACAGAAAAGGGTACCCCCATGCACACTCTTTGGGCAAACCCCGCCTCCTAGGAAAGAACATCGTTTCCCTCCACCATGGCCCTTGCAGAAAGGAGTGCTTCCTTCCGCACCCTTGTTGCATCCCAAAAATGTGCAACGTTTGCCACCGCCATGAGCCTTACAGAACATTGTGCTTCCTTGGGCCCCTTTAGTGCATTCAGGATACTGACATCGGCGACCACCTCCGTGTGAGATGCAAAGACCAGAAAGGCCTTCTGCACTTTTTGTGCAGTTCTCTCTCTGGCATCTCTTGCCACCACCATGCCGAATGCACAATCCAGATTTCCCTCTTGCAGCACGGGTGCAGCCCTCATGACTGCAACGGCGGCCACCGCCATGAGCAATACAGAAGTCTGTACGTCCTTCTGCACTCTTTGTACATCCTAAAAATTCACATCGCCGACCGCCACCATGAGCCTTGCAGAATGCAGTCCGACCCTCAGCTCCTTTATGGCAACCAGGACGTTGGCACCTCCGACCGCCACCATGAGCGATACAAAGGCCAGAAGCACCTCTTGCTCCCTTGGAACATCCCTGAAACTGACACTGTTTAGCACAACTAGTGCGCTGCTGTTGAAGCTGTGTTATCCCGGAAGTACAGGTGACTGAGCTTTTTGGTGTAGTCATTACACTTGCAGAGAGATCTGGAGACAGTGATACCGGCTTCATTTGTCTTGGAGCCTGGCCGAGGAAGTTAGTGTTTTCTATGTCCCGTGCAATTGGAAATGGATAAAAAGGACTTCCCATGGATCCTTCATCAGTGTTAAAAGCTCCATCACCAGTAAACGCCATTTTGAGAACATTCTTTGCCGTAGTGGAGCTTGGACAAAATGTAGTTATATCAGATTCAGCAGGCCTACTACAAAGGCTCAACTCCAAATCAACCTTAGACTGTGCACTCAGGGATTTCGAACTGGCTGATTTCCTTGGATTTAATTCACTGCCAAGATGGAGTGTGAAGTCCAGTTCTAGATCCATTGACGATTCTTCTTCAGTTTCTTTTGCCGAGGACATCGAAGTGCATGCAGTCGCTGTACTCCCCTTACTATCTGACGAACTTGATGACTGGCCTAGGCGGAGACATAGTGAAGATTCGATTTGCTGATCCATGGGTCCATCTATTAAACTCCACTTCCGCTTTATTCCCTTTGGAGCAGATGTGGAAGGGATCTGAAAAGACGGTGGATTAAGTTGTAAGGTCGTATCTTCATGATAAACACCCCTGACTCCTCCAATTTGGCTGGAACTGCCCAGATTCTTGAATGCATTTGATACAGGGTTAGCAGCAAAACCAAGATTGTGAAATCTGGCATTCATGACCAAATAGCCACTGATGCAATACACTTATTTGATCCAAATTCAGATGCAAAAGAACAGTCTTCCTGACTTCCGGGTTTAAATCAATTAGTAACAAAACAAAGGTTAGATGCCTCTGAAAGAGTACACCCCACCCCCGCTCACAAATCCAGAAGTATCACAACGATCCATTCGCTGATCTGAACTTGCCCCAATTAGAAGAAGTGATGGATTATTACACACAATTCAAGTACTTCAGTGCAGTATAGTAGCTGGTCAACCTGTTTCACGAAGAATTTCATTATTAACCAAATAAAGTTACTGGATAATAAAAGTTAAGCATTATGCAGATAAATGCATGCAAGATTCTAAATAAGGAAAAGATATCTTAGTTCTTTATTCGATGAACATAATCATT